GTGAGTCAAGCACCAGATCCTCTTCTCCATATCCGCGAATGAAATTTCCCACTGAGCCTGAACTAATTGTTTGTCTTCCTTTAACCTTCCAGTTCCGGTCGAGCTGAGTTCTGAGCAACTCCGCACCGAGCCTTAACTCATTAATAAACCTGTTAAACTTTTCACCAGTGTCTCTCTGAATTGGTTTCATCTGCGTTTTTGGGTCAGACCTTTAGATAAAATCATGACACCTTGGGCTGTAACATTTCCAATAAATATACTTTTACCACTTACCATTTGACTAGTACTGAAAGGTTTCACTTAAACCAGATAATTACCAGAACTAACCTTGATCATTGCAGTTGTAAATTGCTTCTAAAACCTTGTGGACGCAACAGGTTATATGTATGGATAACAGCATCACTCTGAGACTTAGGACACTCTATGGCTGTAGATGTAATTCTTGAATGCAAATAAGTATGTTTGGTTTGGGTTTGTTCACTGCAGAAAGGCGTCCATTCATACTAAAGGGAAAATAAAAAAATAAAACTACACTTTTCCTTTGAGAACTCAAGTGGGCAAACAATAGTTTCTGATGCTTAGAAGCGACATAAAACTTACTTCTCTAAGCGTTCCTGAAGTGTAGTAGAGTTTTCCTGCTGCCCAAGCAGGGATGCAAAGCATGGAGGACAGAGCCAGGATCCAGCCAATCGCATCCCCCCACAATGGGTACACATATTCATTGTTGTACTTTAGAGGTGAGTACTTAATCAATGAAAAGGCAAAGGTTCCCTGTGCAAAAAAATAAAAAATAAAAATAATGAAAAAACAATCTTATTTTAGTTGTTCTACTTGCATGGCTTAAATGTATGAGTCACTATAGCTGATAAAGTAACCTTCCATATTAATCTGCAGTTTTAATGTTGCCTTAAAGGGGCTGCTTCTGTTTCCAAAGAACAATTTGACACATTGAAAATAAACATCAAACTTACGAAGCATGTGGCTGGAGTGAAGTAGAGCCAGCAGAACTTAATAACAGGGCCGGGTCGGTAGCCGATCATATCCTCTATGTTGTCGTAGAAACGATCAGCACCTGGGTTAAAACAATTTCACTGGTGTCAGTGCTTTGGAGTGGTGTTTTACTGATTTAAAGTTAAGAGCTGTGGAAGCGGTGTGCATTGACTCACCATAAACCCAGGCAATGGCAACAGTCTCAAAAACAGCCACGAAAAGAAGACACATCCCACTGGCTGCATAGTAGTCGAAGAGCTGGAAGACGTACATGCCTCCCTAAAGGCACGAAAAAAAAGCTCATGCAAACTGCTATAACAGAACAATCCAATCACATAAATTTTTATTGCTTTATTTATTAGAACGGGTGCAGAGTGAATGTTGCTCAACATGACTAAACAAATAATTCATTTCTACAGTTTAACCTTTCTAACCATGTTCTTTGACTTTGTCACTTGCTTTTTGTGTGTTTGCAGAGACAAACCTCTGTCAGCATAATGAGTCCCAGGAGGAAGGACACCACAGCTAATGCAAGGATGAAGAGCTCCCTGCGGTTTTTGCGGCGGAAGACGGAGGGATACATATCCACCATGGCTGTCACCAAGCTCTCCACACAAACAAACTAACACGGCAAAGAGGTAAGGAGATGATTTTTTTTCTATCAATCTCAACATAACTAAGCATGAGTCAAAAACGCTTTGCACATGCGTTAGTGCTGGTGATTATACCTGACTGTCCAATCCCAGGAAGACGATCATAACAAAGAAACAGCAGGCCCAGAGAGGAGAAACAGGCATCATGGTCACAGCGCGAGGATACGCTATGAAGGCCAAACCTGGACCTGGAAAACAGACAGACATCCTTTACAAATGTAACGGGTTTTAGAAGATGTAGATTAAATTCTACTAAAATATGTTTTATAGTTATTTGTGATGAGTGGTTTTTGGTGCCTATAAATGCTGGGGAGTGGCTGACAATTCCACAGAATCTGTTCGACCCCCAGCTGTGGTGAGTG